TCAAATGTTGATTGCTCGGCAGGCATGGAGACTTTTAACCAAGCCTAATAGTCTTTGTGTGCAGGTGTTCAAAACCTGATAGGACACCTTGAGGACACCATTTTACAGGCAATGCTTCAGAAACCTAGCACGACATTCAGCACGGCTTGAGCTACTAAAAAGGCCTTGTTTGGCGTGTTGGAAACAACAAAAATATTCATATTTGGAGGGATACGTGGCTGCCACGGGAGTCATCTGGTAAGCCCATCACACTATAGGGCACTAGCAGACTTCAGCATTGTCGGATCTCCTAGATAGCCAAGAGGCATGGGAGATGGATCCCCTCCGCAGGCACTTCCTCCCGGGAAACGTTGATATTATCACCACCATATGGACATCACCTTGAGCACCCAACGACGTCCTCGCATGGGCTCTGGAGAAGAACGACATCTGCACTGTATGTTTAGTAATCGCTTCGCCATGGAGGAGTGCGAGCGCCCATCGGCATGCACCACGAGTAGGGCAACCGATGGTCGTTGCGACATCTGGAAGACCATATGGGGGTGCTTGGCTCCCCCAAAGGTATGAGTCTTCCCATGGCGACTTGTGACTGTCTCTCTTGCAACTTGGTAAAATATTTTTTATCGTCACCTGAAGGCCACTGACGTTTGTTCATTGTGTGGTTTGGCATGCTCGAGGATGGCTTCCATGCTATGTGTAGGTGCGCCCGTGCGGTGGACCTCTGGCGTTCGATGGCGATGGACTGGGGGCTCTCGAAGAATAGCTCGTTTCGCAATACTGGGCCTAAGTGCTTGTTCGATGTGTTAGAGCCACTCTCAAATACCTCATGTGTGGTGCTCTTGATGACCTTGTGGAGATCATGGCAGGTTCTCAATGAAATTACGCATGATAAGGATCCGCCCTCAACTAAAACCTCCTGCCATTTTTTCCATAGCTATGTTACTTCTCTTTTGTGTATCCAACAACATCAAAAGGAAAGGAAGTGAGCCTAGCTCACTTAGCTAGTGGAGTGGATGTACAACCCAGCCATCCAGGTTCAATTCCTCACGAGCACGAATTTGGGTCCTTGTTATTTAAAAATAAAAAAACTCATTGTGGGGGCCTTCCCCTACCGCTTTCCTTCAAAAAACAACATCAAAATGTGGATTTCTTGAAAGCAAAAAATGATGATTCAAGATCCTATTTGTCGTCTTACTGCTCCCATCACTTCTAGGCGGGGAAAAAAGGCAAGAGATGCACTAGTAGGAAACAGGGCATCTGTCCCGGTTCCGGTTGGCTTACGAACTAGGACTAAAGGAGCTCCATGTGGCCATTGTGGGGCTCCCAGGTAGGATGACTCTAGTCCCGGTTCGTAACACCGACCAGGACTAAAAGACAGCCACGCGTCAGCAGCTCCCAAGCACTGGGTTTTTTTAAATGGGGGGGTAGGGGTTTTGGATGGTTTATGGGTTTCGTATTGTGTTAGCTAGCTACTACATATAGAGAGAAGTGACCTCTCTTTCTCCGTGCTTGGTCGGCGCTAGCTAGTAAGCAATGAAGGAACCATTAATGACACAACATCGCCATGAACATATATAGAGAGAAGTGACCTCTCTGTCTCCCTGCTTGGTCGAACAACAAGTTTTCGTATATCTATCCAACACTACTACATATATACAATATAACATCTCTTACGATCCCTAACATCATTTACCCAAATCATCCAATTCTACATGGTATTCTCCGTCTTTAGGTATGACATGGTCAAGAAAGAATCCCGCTAATTCCTCTTGAATTGCTCGTATGCGATCATGTGGTAGGAGTTCATCCCGCTTCTCCCAGATCTAATTTAAAGAAGGGGGTCAATACATATATATATGAATGAAACTCAACACAATTGATGGTAATAAAATGAAATTGTGAATATTGTTTATGTACTTCAAATTGTTTGTCAGATAAGCCCCGCTCGGAGGTCGAGTGGCGAATGAACTTGCAAATGTAGTATCCACATCAATTATTCCTGGGTGCCTGCCACAAGCACTTTACGAGAATAGAGTTCAATCAAACTGATAAGCAAGCATGATAATGGTATTGATGAAACTGGAATCAATGAGAGATGCGCGGAACTATCTAGTACTACTTACTTTGGGGTGTGTAAATCGCAGCTCCTTCTCTTTAGACCAGGAACCATTCCAGTGAACTTTTTCCAAACCCTGCCTGACAAAGAAAATGATTACTTGATATCAGGAAATGAGTGAAAGTTGCCGATATGGTGCGACAATGATCGAATTTACTTCTGGAGTATTTCACTCATGTTTGACCACTCCTTACGCTCTTTACATCTCGAGTCTAAGACAGTTGCTACTTCCACATCAAGATTAATGGATAGCATAATAAAGTGGAACCTGCACACACATAAATCATCAATTACACTTAACCTCGAGTAAGCGAAACCGAATATGCACAAGACAGTAACACTCACTTGAAGTTGTAACGAAAGAGTATTTTCCTTTTGTTTTGATGTCGAAGGAACACGTTTAGCAAGTTTTCCTCAGTCTATCTGGCTTTGTTTTGTACCATCCATTCATTTACGGTATTTGGGCTAATGAAACCAATGTCATAGATTTGTCCTCTTTTGCATTCGACAATCTTCAATATACATAATATATAGTGAGGATAATTATATATACATGCAATGAATGAGCTGAGCTAGAGACTTAATTACAGAAATAATACTTACAGGCAGTAGCAAGTCACGAGAGTTTTTTCGATGGCGTCTTGATTGTATAACTAAAATAATTCCACAAATTCAACACACATCATGTCCACTCCAATGAAGTCGTGTTCATGTTTAATTCCCAGCAAAATACTATGGGTCCCATCCTTGCTGCAGGTTTCCAAGTACCAGTTATGTAATCTTCGCATCATCGTTGGTAGTTGCAGGAGCTAATCAGGTTTGATGAGAGGCTTCTCATACTCGTATTTAAAGAGCTCTACTACCTCGGCCATTTCAAATTGTACATCATCGCTCACGTAACCACCAAGAGTTGTACCGGGTGCTAGCCCCGGATGATTAGCGACATTGGTAAACACCTTGAGCGGGGGCCACGATTGCTTCTCTTGTTAGCCGATCTGGGGATTTATTTCCCACTTCGTATTGCAGCACTCTTAGTACTTTCCGACCACTGTGCTTCATCAAATGTCTTTTTAATACAGCAGTCATAGTGTGATATCGGCGGAGGCGGTGGTGGTCGCCTAAGGGCATCCAAAGAGGGATTCGCTTTTACTGGATCTATGGTTTCCTTCAAACATGGAGGTTTCCATTTAAAACGGGCCTTCACTTCGGCAACCACAATGTCCTTGTTTTCCTCGCCAGTCCTCTCATATGGTAACTTGGCAGGAGCCTTGAGGCTTGGACCAGCTCAGAATTTCTTCGTTCTTGTACTACTACCCGCCGGAGCAGCGGCGGCTCTCTTCCGCCGTTGCTAAGGCGGCAGAGACGGCTGACGCACCGGAGCCTGCTAAGGCGGCGGAGACAGCTGACGCACAAGAGACAGCTGAGGCAGTGGAGCACTACAAGAAATATGTCAACTTGCGACCATCACTATTGGTCACTGAAAGGTCATTGTTTTTCATTTGCGACCTTTTTTGACCAAAAACAGATGGTCAAAAGCTGGCAGTCGTAAACTAAAATTAATGACCTTCTTTGTGAGAAGGTCATGAAATTGCACGACCAAAACAAAAGGTCATTGATTCTATGACCTTCTGTTTTGGTCGCTGGCTCTTTGCCCAGGCCACGTCGGATCCGACATGGCAATCTGACGTGGCAAAATTGCGACCAATTGAAAAGGTCGTTGATAAGATTCAGCTCGGTCCAATTCAGTGTTTTATATGGGCCGAGCCCATTAATTCAGCCCATTTGTTGCTTTTTCTCTTTCAATTTGGATAAAATAAATGGGCCAAGCCCAACAGACTTTTATTTTTTGGGCCACAATGTTTTATAGTCCACAGTTTTTGGGCCTCAGCCTTTTTCGAGCCCACTTGTTAGTTTTCTTTTGTTTCTTTTCCATTTTAAAGTAGGTCCCAATAGTCAAATGGGAACCAATTACCAGAACTGTTGTTTGGGTACCACACGTCAGTTCTATATTTGTGCAATTAGATAATTTGATTCAAAGAGCCAATAAGGCATAATATTTCATACAACAACGAAGCAAAGTACATTACAATGATACATAGTACAGATCTGGTATTCAGCTATAGAATACAACAAAATATACAACACATAACTAGCTGCAGTGAGCTAAAACGCATTGCTGGGTGTGGTTTTCCTTCGGGATTCTTCTTCATAAAGCTCCTATGCACCCAACTATTGAAAAATGAAGGCCGGCATCTGCAAATAATAAATTATGGAAAGTTAGAAACATAATAGTGTGAATTCATGAATATAAAATTCTCATAATAATGAAATATTGCTGCAGAACTTTAGATTTAATAGGAAACCATGCATATAACATTCTCATATTAGCTAGCTGCATGTATCCATCTAGTAAGCAGTCACAAGTCAGAACACACATCTAATGCCACCATCTTATATTACACTTCAGGAACTAGTACATCATGATAAGATGACATGTTTCTTATCTTTGAAGAAGAAAAACAACAACACATCTAGCAAGAATGGATTGACAATCAGCTAGTTGCCGATCCATGATTTTATAGTACGGTGCAAGATAGCTATCATCATTGAACAATTAAAGATTGAAGAATTCAAAACATGTGAATTGCAGTAAATTGCAATTCTTATTCTACATAACTCATAAATGGGGATGCATAGTAGAAAACTATCAGCTCTATAGTCCTACTGAGAACCCACTACCAAGAGGGCATGGAACAAGCAGTGATACACCCAGGCATTCATCAACCAACATCTAATACACAAGTGCACACAATATTCAACATTCACTCAAAGTATGTTGTGCAGGAAGGCACCACTCCATTTTCACTCAAAGTAAAATGGTACATCACATTTTTGGATGAACAAAGCAACTACCAAGTGCGTGGCTCATTTGAGAGATGAAAAGTAGCACATTTATACGCTCCAGGAACTGAACATGATGTTTGCTTACCTTGTTGTCAGCTGCAGGAAACTGCTTGCCATAAGGAGTTGTGGGGCCATCATGTGCAAGTGGAACCCTCAAGTTAGAAATGTGGAACTCTTTGAGTTGGATGCAATCAGCCAGCCTGATGACAAAGTAATCAGGTTTGAAGAAACTTGCTCCCAACGATGATATTGTCAGATGAACATATTCTCCGTTGTTTGAAGAAACTTGCTCCCAGCGATAGAACGTAGTCTGCAGCTTACCGATCTGCGAAATAAAGATGATCTTTATCCTTAGGATCAGAAGAAGAACACAAATACATGCAGTTTGATGATGCAATATGTTTCTGAAGCTACGGTACAGTTAAGCAACATATACATATGAGTTTTATCTTCAGGAACAGAACAGGACAGAAAAATCCAGGTGTTCCTAAAACTACAAGCGACGTAGCAGCACACGTACTGTAACTACTCGACTTTCTCAACGATAAGAGGACATAGATTATCAGACAAAGAATAGCTGTTGCAGAGCTCTATACAACATCCCTCACAAACTCCCATTCTTTTAAGCAATGCATAGGAGCTTTATCCTCAGGACCAATAGAAGAATACAGATGATACATGCAGGCTGACGATGCAATATGTTTGTGATACTATGGGAGAGTTTTAAGAATTACAGAGGAGTTTTATCCTCAGGAAAAACAGAGCATGGCAGATAAATGCATGTGTTTCTGAAACTACATGAGACTTATAAGCACATTCACTTTAGCTACTCATCTTTTCAAGCATTCAATCAAATGGCCTTATAATACAAGACAAAGAGGAGTTGCAATGGTATGCACTCATCACATATATAGGAACCATGCTTAAAATCCACACATACATATAAATATCCCAATAGGACAGAGCTAGTAAACAAACTAGCAGTTGTGCACTTGATAACCTGCCCTGCACACTCTTACTACCTAAAATAACTTGCATTCCACAAGAACGGCAGATGTACAATGTTTAATTTGTATATAAAATTTTACTTTTTCTTGGAAGCATGCTTGGAACCCACATGTTACATATCTATGCATATATCCCCAAACAACAACAAAACCAATACAACAACTAAGCCTATAATTTTTTTTGCTCCTAGCTAGCATCATAAATTTTCTCAGCTAGTACTAACTACCAAGCTGGTCACTGCCTCAGCCATACTACAGTAAGACGTCCTTATATACTACTCCATACAGTACTGGAGTAGAAAATAAAGAAACAATTTTCAGCTGATAGTACACCACGGCATAGCTAAATAAACAGCGACAGCATACCAAAATTCGCAACTAGAGGAAGAGAAAGGGGCACAGGGGAGGGAGGGAGGGCGGACGGGGATGGGGGGATTACCCAGCCCTGGATCTCCTCCCGGACGATGTAGAAGGGGTCCTGCGCGGAGCTCATGGCGGACGTCGGAGGTTGGTGAGGTCGGCAAGGGGCAGCTGCTGCCTCCGAGGACGCAGCCATAGCAGCAGCATTTTGTCGCCTCCTTCGGCTCTGGCTCCGAAGATTTCCGCGGTCCGGCCAGCTCGATGAAGCGCCGCGCATCGAAGCACGCACGCGCGCGCCGGCAAGCAAGCCAGGTGTAGTGCTTCGTCGACGCCACATCCAGTAGTGGTTCAGCTAGATGTCATGGACCTGCAAAAACAATTAAAGAGAGCAAATAATAAGGTAACATCGCCAATAAATTGCAGCTTTTCAAAGCAACTATAGTTATTCAGAAAACATGGTTGCTGCAACTTTAAGCCAAGCAGTACACATTCATGTGAAATATACATGTGTAAGGTACTAGAAGCATTCATTGCATATCTATGTGCACTGCTATAATTTTATGCCAAGCAGTGCACTAGTACATCAATTACACTAAGCCTCAAACGAGGTTCACCAAAGATGAAATAGGCTGCATTGCTCAAACAGTCCGCATCCCTCAGATCTCATAGCTATGGGCCATCTCGGATGAACCTAAAAGTAAACTAGTTTTAGCCACAAGCCACAGGTACAAAGAAATATACTAAAATGGCTTGAAGCTAAAACTAATCAACCATTCATCTGGTACTGAAATTTGTTCTTCACTGGGAAACTGCTACTTGAGCTAGATACGACAGATAAAGCTACTCAACAGGAAAATAATACACTCAATGATACACTCTGATGTTAGTTGAAACCAAAGGATAAGTCGAACGAAACTGCAACGAAATAGATGATTTCTCTTCTATAGTTAAAACTCAAGTATGGTTTTCGAGTCACGACTCATGCGAGTCACTCTGGGGCAGTGACTCGGAAGAAGTCGAGCCTAAGTTGTGACTAGTCGCGACTCAGAGTCGCGAGTCGCGAGTCGACGCTAAGCTGAGTTAACCATATTTTTGTGACTCATAGACTAGTCGAGCGACTCGAAATCCATGCTCAACGGGAAAATAATACACTCAATGATACACGTGAATTAGAAATGCCCATTATACACAGCCTGGAGTCTGTTCTACAGAAAAACACTAATCAACAAGCAAGTAAAACCTTCTGAAAGCAACACTTTGGTAACCTGTAAGCAATAATAATTACTATCCCTGGTAGATATATACTACACCTCTTGATTTTGATGGACAAACACTCATACATTCATGAAATTTACTGAACATAAGCAACTCATATGTCAATTTCGAAACAGAAGAAGTGATACCAACTCATATACCGAACCATCATTAACTCATAGTAGCTTGAATTGAGGACTGAAATGAAGTAAAATTCAGAAGATAGATGTCTCTGGTCCGTCGCTGCGGTACCACGAGATGAAGACGACTGCACCTCTATCATTAACTTCATGTACGATCCCTGCAAGGAATCAACACCGACAGTTTCAGTCTCCAAATCCACACCAGATTCAGATGAACCTACGACCAGCACTGGATCAAACATGGATCGAATTGAAGGAGAAGTGTTACCTTCATATCGTCCACTTGGTGGGAGAGCTTGTCGAGCATCTTCTTATGCTCCTTCTCCGCCTCCTCTGCCATCTGCACGCAGCTTTGCGTCTGCATCTGAAGAGGAACAACACACATGGACATGGAAGGGGATCCATCAGATCTCAGGATAAATACGCACTAAGGAAGGATGGCAAAGGGGATGAGAGGAGTCAGTCACCATGATGCCCTTGGGCAGGTCCGATCTCGCTGGGGCCTCTTCAATCGACCGAGGATCGGCCGGGATCAGAGGAGGTGGCGGCGGCGAGGAGTCATGGGGAGAGGGAGAGAGGAGGCGACCATGGTGACCTGCCGCCACCGGTGGCGCTCGTCTAGCGTGGGGGGGACTGGGCTCGACGATGGGATCAGCGCGGGGGCGAGGGGAGGGCAGAGGTGGCATGCGGCATGCGGCGTGCGGCATGGTGGGAGACAGGGGCGAGGCAGAGAAGGAGGGATGGAGGTGTGGACGGTCGTGCGTGTACGTGGTCGTGGCGGGGCACATATGTTAGGAACCACAGGAGAGGGAGGGGAGGCGCGGAGTGTCGTGCGCGTACGTGGTCGTGGCGGGGCACGCCAGCATCCTGGCCGTGGACTGCCTGCCTATGGTCGCCGGGCGGCGAGACGAGGCGCCGCGCGACAAAATCCCAAGGACGGAGTGGTTGGTTGGCTCGGAGTGGATAAGGCTAGGGGAGAACGAGAGGGAGGGAGGAGCTCGATTTCGTCTATGGTGGGCGGCGGCGGATCAAGATCTGAGGGAGGGAGAGGGTGACTTGGAGATGGGGATATGGGATCGAGGGGCGCGGGAGAGGG